CAAAACTCTCAAAGCGGCTATTACACGTGGATAGGAGTTGTGTAGGCCTGTCACCCCATTGTTATCACCGGGGCTTATCCCGGTTTCTGTTGCATGAAGCTACTTGGAGTATTTCTACTCGCCCCTGGATGGGATGCTAATCCATCGCAGGGTTACCCCCAGTATTAAGTTCGCCGGTACCCATTTATACACCTGGGTGGAGAGAGACACTGTGAGAGTAAAGTATTTTGCTCAAGAACACAGCACAATTTCCCCAGCCAGGGTTCGAACCCGGACCGCTCGATCCGGAGACGAGCGCACTAACCAAGAGGCCGTCACGCCTCGGTCCTATCAAAGGATTAAAGTATTTTCATCCTTGTTGAACTGTTTCGTATTTATCTTTTGTCACGTGTTGACATTTCTTCGTTTTATCGAGGTATATTATACTTTTGGGCTTCTGGATTGTGTTCGCTATAACAAAGCTTTAGTCATATCGAGGTTCGTTATGATATCATTTTACTGCAACTTTGGCCGAGCCGAAGAATAACGTTCGTTATACCAAGGAGTTGATTATATAGCGGTTTTCATAAAATCGAGGTTCCACTGGACTGTACTCGGGTATAGAAATCAGGATTTTGGTAAACAATAGAGGATCACTGATATTATGTATGAGTCATATACTGTATGTATTTAACCATCATCCCCCGTGATTCGCCGAAGGCGATGTGAACATTGGTGAATATTCACGGAGACGAATCGAGGCTAGGTGAATATTCACCAATGCTCACTGAGCCCGAATAATTGCTTTAGTATAATTTTCAGAGGTGAATATCATGGACTACAAAATAACAGACTAAAAGACGAAATTGTTCGTTTGCATACACGTATGCAGCCGTAGTTTCTGTAGTTTTAATAATAAGCATACATATCTAGACTATATCAGTAAAAGAGTGATTGTCGGGGGGGAACGACCTCTTTTACAATGGACGAACACACCTTCTGCTCTTTTAAAAGCTCCTTCTCTATCACTTCTGGTGCAAAGTTACCTTATACAGCTCTCACACTTCTCAACGGCTTACACTTCTCAAAACCTAAGACTCTGCATGGTCTCGCTCTTTGTTGTTGACCACGTCGATACTTGTCAATCAAGCGTCACACCGGCAAACTGACATCTACAATCACGGACAAATTGTGTTGCCGGAAAATGCCAAATTCATGAAATCATAATCGTAATACTAACAGAATCAGTGTCAACAACCCCATTGCCCCATTCAATGTTGGAAAATGGTAAAATGCAAACTTGTGTTAGATGGAAGTGTTTTGTCAACTTTGCTCAGGGGTGGGGAGGGGCAAAATGTGTGTAGAATGATTTTTTCCCAACCCTTGTGACCAAGGTTGTAGGTTTGCGTAAGGACTTGCGCAGCTCACGCATAGCAGCACTAGGCTTGCGCACGAGAATTATTACCATATTTTTCTTCGACCGAATACCAGAGTCAAAATCGTTTTCATTTCACATTTTCTTTATGATTCCAAGAGAGTCTGACCAAAATAAAACAACGAGAGCAATGTAAAAATTACAAGAATGGTCTTTACAGAATTGAATTAAAATACACGTTACAGCAATGTGTAGAAAAGTCAAATAAAGGTTGTTGTCAATGTGCAATCGTTATGAAACAACAACTCAGGCTTACTTTTTTTTTTTCTTTTTTTTGTTTGTTTGTTTGTTTTTTAATTTCGTTTCAAGGGTTGCAAGGGTTTCAAGCGTTTCAAGGGTTGCAAGGGTTTCAAGCGTTTCAAGGGTTGCAATGGTTTCAAGCGTTGCAAGGGTTTCAAGCGTTGCAATGGTTTCAAGCGTTGCAAGGGTTGTAAGCGTTTAAAGGGATGCAATGGTTTCAGGCGTTGCAAGCGTTGCAAGGGNAAGCGTTTCAAGGGTTGCAAGGGTTTCAAGCGTTTCAAGGGTTGCAATGGTTTCAAGCGTTTCAAGCGTTTCAAGGGTTGCAATGGTTTCAAGCGTTGCAAGGGTTTCAAGCGTTTCGAGGGTTGCAATGGTTTTAAGCGTTTCAAGGGTTGCAAGGGTTTCAAGCGTTTCAAGGGTTGCAATGGTTTCAAGCGTTGCAAGGGTTGCAATGGTTTCAAGCGTTGCAAGGGTTTCAAGCGTTGCAATGGTTTCAAGCGTTGCAAGGGTTGTAAGCGTTTAAAGGGATGCAATGGTTTCAGGCGTTGCAAGCGTTGCAAGGGTTTCGAGCGTTGCGAATGTTGAGTTGCCAGGCGCACAATTACAAGTGTTGCAAGGGTTCCAAACACTGATCCCGAAATGATCCCCAAGTAAAGTTTGGAATGAGAATTGAACCGGGGATTCTGGAATGTGCAATCTTAGTGAGATTCATGTACTTTCAATTATTTATACATGTTAAATCATTTCAAATAGTTCGCTTCGCATCCTTTCTTGAGCCGTGACAAAGTTTTGTATACGTTCTAAGTTTATTAAGAGCTAATAACGCGACCAGGCAAATCTGAAACAAATAATGACTCCAAACCTTGTTGTTATTTCAAAGTTGGCTGATTGCCTCAAAGCTTCACTCGTACGACTTTCCTTTTAGCTAATTATCTCGTTCCATGCACCTGCTATGCAATAAGACACAGTAATTTTTCCTAAATTGTTGTTATTTCCTATTTGCTAACAAGTTGTCTCAAATTCAGACAAAGTTTCAGTCCACGTACAAGTCGATGTCCACTAACTAACTGAGGTAATAAATTCCCTATAGAAAGATTACAAAAAGAGGGATGACATCAAGTTGTATTGATCATTTCATGACTGAGTTAAAAGTTAAAAGTTTATTAGTGTTGCGAGTTAAACGCTGTGTCAAGTTTAAGATCCCAAATGTCGGAGGTACTTCTCTGGGCACTTTACAGGTACCATTGGCCAAGAAACTGAATCTCCTGTTTTAAAGGATGCTGCTGTCTTACAGCGGGCGGACTGATTGAGAGACAACTTTAAGTTAAGCTAAGTGTTTGCACTAAAAACTTTGCTACTTGACTGTTTATTTAGTAAATATGTGTGACAAGACCTCATGTACAGGAGCTTTCCGTGAATTACTAAAGTTTGGTGTTCATTTCGTTCCATACCAAAATATATTTGGATAAACTCTCCAGCAGATTTCTTTACCCTTAACACTAAATGAATTTGAATCTGCAACATAGATTTATTTTTTTAAAACAGCGACTTCTCGTTGCTTTAACCTGATATTTGAGAAGCGTCAAGCGTTATCTCGAAAATCTAGAAGTACGTCACCTAAATTAAATTGATTATCACTGTTCCGTTATTGGAGTTACCGCGAATAAAATCACTAAATCTAACGACGTATCAATGCCGAGACAATCCTTGCCAGGAATGTCTTTGAATTCGTTCCAAAACCTCTACACCTCTGGAGTTGTTGCCATATTCATTGATATTATAGACAGCACAATTCCCCTAAGGGGTTCCAAGCCTATTTCGACGATAATGTGCTAGAAACATATAGTACCACTGGTAAACCAGTATCTATAATGGGTGACTGAACTATTAACCTCCTCAATGTTATCTCTTCTTTTTTTGTTCCTCTCTTGTCCAATTCAACTACTTAGATGCGCTAATAGTATTTTAAGTCAACCTCGTTGATGATTTAATTAACAATTCTGTGAACAGTTCTATTCATCCACCCCAACAGAAACACACCAAGCTCGTCTTCAAATCTGATGATTAACTGATGGGGAACTGCAAGCGTATCTCTGTATTTAACTGCATTTTTGAAAAAGTAATGTGTAATCGCATCATTGCTTATGTAGAGAAAAAATGATTTACTATGTAAATCATGGTACGGATTTCGCGAGATGTATTCCTGCTATCATACTATACTCGAAATTGTTAGGAAAATCCAAACTAATGTGGATAGGAAATTGTTTTCATGTGGAATATTTTTAGATCTTTAAAAAGCACTAGAACAACTCCCTTTTTTTTAATTTTTGGCCCCAAAGTATGGCATTCTCTTCCAAATAGTCTGCGCTCCCTACTTAAAGAGTATTATAAGATACAAATCCATACGCTCTTTTAAAATTAATTAGCAGTGAAGATGATCATCCTTCTAAAAAACGATCATTGATAAAATATCTGCTGGAGTTTATGGAACCAAAAAAGCACCTCTACATTTATTTTAATAAGCTCCTGTTACTGAAAATTATCTGTTCTCTTTTTTCTTGTACTTGAAGTTATTAGCTTCTGTTGTTATCTGTACTTGAATTAATTTCATTTTTGTAATTTAACAGTATTGTACCTTTCCTTCTTTTCTTTCTCTAC